TTAAAAAGATCGGATAACTAAAACCTATAGCTCCCATACAACTGATTGTTCAGATATGAGATTTTTCGTTGTAATTCATCCATTTATGTAGCTAGGACCATGAAATTTCGCGCTGTTTTCACTCATTATCAGCAGAAGACTTACAGTGAAAATAACGAAGATCGGGTCACTATAACCTGCAGCCCCCATACAACTGATTGTTCAGATATGAGGTCTTTTATCATATCTCCTCCATTTATGCAGTTAGGAACATGAAATTTCGCACCATTTTCACTCATTAACAGAATACTTACAGTGAAAATAACAAGGATCGGGTGACTACAACATATATCTTCCATACATCTGATTGTTCAGATATGGGATTTTACTGTAAAACTCCTTTATTTGAACAGCTAAAACCGATAAATTTCGTAAGATATTTTATAAATAATAATACAAAGTCTACTGAGAAAATCGTCAAAATCTATGCTGTATAAGCTTTATCTCCTATAGCACTGATTGTTCAGATACCAGTTTTTGCGATATATCTCCTTTATGTAGGAAACTAAACCCAATAAATTGTGTTACCGGTTTACATACCGATCACATAGCAGTGAAAATCACTTAGATTGGTGCCATATAAAGTATATCTTCCATACCTCTGATTGTTTAGATGCGATTTTTTATATAAGTATGTAACTCCTCTATCGATGTATCAAAATCAGTAATCTGTCAAACTAAAATTTGCAGATGTTCATGAAAGGTATGAAGCCTTCGGCATAGCCGAAGACAGCGCTGCTCACTTGTTTTTTCTAAAACTCTTTTCAACACTTTTATTGGGGTCAACGCGCCTAATTAGGGGTTAAAAATGTAGATGTTATGGAGCGCAAATTTTATTTTTTTTTTTTCGACAAATAACTGCGAAAAGTACCAAAAAAAAATTTGTTCGAGAAAAATTGTTTTCGTGTTGAACTATTCAAAGTTTGCCTATAAAATAATATTTTAAAGATGTTCACTTTTTGTGTAAGCTATTGTAATGGTAATATATTTTGTTATACTTTTATTAATATTCATTAAAAAAAAACGATTAATACCGACAAAGAAAACGTGATTAATGTTTAAAGTTTAAAATGGACTAAGAATTTAGAATTATGTATGTATGTATACTGTTTTGTTACTTTTATACTATGTACATATGTATGTACGTATATTTTTGAAGAATTGTCCTGCATTTTCAATCCATATTTATGGTCACCGTAGGTATAACATGTACATATACACCTGCGTTCAACTAAATAGCAACGAAATTCAAAATGATATTTTTGCAAATTAATTTTTAATAATTTTCATTTAAAATATAATTCAGTCTGTAACAGGAATAACAATAATAAAAGTTCCAAAGCTTGCAAAAATTGCAAAAAAATTAATCAAACTTAAAAAAAATTGTCTTAGAAATTTCCAAATTTTTATTCGGAATATTTAGAAAATTTTCGGGTATGCAGTTCTGTAGCCCATTCAATTGTAATCTAAGAAAGTGCAAGTCTCAAGTCGTTTAAAATTACCGTCGATTTTTTAGAATTTGTTTGTGCAGGGTGGTGCGCATTTTCTTCTATATAACACATGATCAAAATTTTTTTTATCTGAAAAAAAAAAGTCCGCAACACCCTCCACAAAAGAAATCAAAAAAATCAACGGTAATTTTAAACGACTTGAGACTTTCACTTTCTTAGACTACAATTGAATGGGCTACGGAATTGCATACCCGAAAGTTTTCTAAATATCCTGATTAAATGTTTGGAAATTTGTATGACATTTTTGGAAGTTTGATTAATTTTTTTGCAAGTTTTGCAAGCCTTGACACTTGTTAATATGATGTCTGTTACAGTTTTACATAATTATATTTTAAATGAAAATTATTAAAAATAAACATAATTTACAAACAATATCATTTTGAATTTCATTGCTAATTAGTTGAACACAGTTCTACATATCGTTCTTTAAACTGAACGACTACTGCATACCATCGTTAGGCAGTTAAAAAGTTACAAATTAATACGCGTTAAATAAACGCATACAAGAATATATGTACCTACAAACATATCTATTTACTTACTTTTTATTATCAATTCCTCCATTTGTATAGTTGGAGTGAGTATTTGTTCTAGTGGCTCCATTTTAATTCTTTCAGGTGGCAAAATGGCATGCTGTTGTTGCTGTTGTTGTTGCTGACGAAGTTGATGTTGCTGCTGAGAGAGTGGTTGCTGTTGTTGTTGTTGTCGTGGCTGCGCCTGTTGCGGCTGTTGTTGCGACTGTTGTGTGTATGCACAACCACCCGCACTAGATCTTCTTCCACTTTCACTAGCAACAGATATGCCAGACATACCGGCATTGTAGGCGCCACCGGCGACAGAAGAAACATTGACATGCGTCGGCATAAAACCACCCCCTACCGCACTAGTAACGGACATACTAACAACTGGAGCTACAACAGAGGTGGGCGCAATTGACGAGGCATTTCCACTACCCACATGTCGGCTAGCCATATCAAGGTCAAAACCGCCAACGCCAACGCCAACGCCGACGCCTCTGCTGCCACTAACGAGACTACCACTGTTCGCTTCATATAAACACCCACCCCTACCGAGCCCATTACCAAACATGCCGGGCATGCCATTACCACCCCTCATACCAGGCCCAGTAATAACGGTAGAAGCAACATGTGCATGTGCGGCAGCAGCAGCAGCATATTGCGCATGTTGTTGTTGTTGTTGCTGCTGTTGATGATGTAATTGTTGTTGTTGGTATTGCCATTGCCGCTGTTGGTGTTGCTGCTGCTGCTGCTGATGGTGGTGGTGTAAAAGCTGCTGTTGGTGATGGTGATGCTGCTGCTGTTGTTGTAGCTGGTGATGCTCAAGTTGTTGTTGATGTTGTTGTAAGTGTTGTTTGTTTTGATTTTGCGACATGGCGTTGTGGAAGTGAAAACAAAGCACTCACAACGCCACCGTCGCACGTTTTCAAAATAGCCGGTTGCTTCTTCTTTTTTTACTGTATATTCCACGGTACTTTTTGTTTTGTTTTTATTTATCTATTTGCTTGCTTTTGATACTTGTTTACGCGTGGTTTTCGGCACCCGCTTTCGCTGCTAATTCGGCTCACGCTTCTTCTTCTTATTTTTCATGTACGTCTCCCACTCGTATGCGGGCTTTTTTTACTGTTTTTCGCACGGCGCCTTATGTACTTGGAATTTTTTTGTATATGTACGAGCAGGAATTCCTGCTACCTTTTACATGCCAAGCAAATTTTCAAATGCATTTTTTCGGAATTATTTTTTCGACTTCATCTACAAATTCTATTGTAAACACAAATATTCCACTTTAACTTGTAAAGGCACATAAAATTTGTAAATATTTTAAAAATTTTCCATTAATTTCGGCGTTATTAAATTTTTTTTCACGAGACGTGCAAATTTTCCAGCGAACAGCGTCAAATTCTTCACTCGTTTGAGAGCTGTCATTATTTGACACTTGCTTTGCTTTAAAATTCGCGCAGAGTTGCCAAGCGTCTCATGACTCACCATGGCAAGAAATGGTATGCTAGTCAGGGTGGTGTGCTAGAAAGGGCAAATTGTTTATTGCCTATTAGCAATTTTAACTTAAAATTTTTAAGCAGTCAGCCAATTTAAGATCTGCATTACAGAATAAAATTAGTCAATCGGGGCTAATCCATCGTAGTCCACCTTTTCCTGAAATTAACGAAAATTCCGTCAGTGAATCCTTATTGCAGCGAACGTGTATTCAAAGAATATGCTACGTTCGAAAAATCGGGCTATGATGGATTTTGTGATAGCCTCGAAAATTCAACATTAAACAAACAAAAGAAAAATAGCCGAAACTGGTCATAATGTCGTGTCCCTATTATTTCTCATATGACTTTATGTGTGATTGTCCATTCCCGCCCTCTTTTACATATTACAGTTTTTACTCTTAACGGGCCTTAGGGTAAAAATTTTATCCCGTTATGTTGCCGACGCTTAGTCTCTTTGAAGACTCAACAAAATTTTTTTCGGACGCCCACGATTTGAATTGGTGAAAACTGTTGGTTGACATTTTAATGAAATGATTTCTCTCTTTTCGAGTGAATTATAATGATTTTTCAAAACTGCTGATTTTTGGAATTTGGATCTTTGCCAATAGAATGCAAATTTTTTACAAACGTAATTAATACATTTTTGCAACTCATACTGATCTGGCTCAAAACCCTCATATTCAATATCTTCCGTTATAGCACCCATCAAATTTTCAACTTTTTGGGAATGGGTACCCAAATTTTCACGCCAAATCTCAAAGATATGCAATCGAGAAAATTCGCAGTGTTAACATTTTGAATTAGAAAATTAGATAAATCAAAAAATAAACATGAAAAAAAACTGTAGAAAATAAAGAGCTTGGATTAGGTTATGGAATACTATGCGAGCATCTGCAGGTCAATGCATCTACACTGAACACTTTTATTCTTAAAATATTAACAAACAATATGTAAATAAAAATATTGAGGGCCGATAGGGGAAACATACTTAAAACATTGCCTAAATACTTGAAAGACGAACCAAGAAACACACAAAATCCTTCTTTTCTAAAACAACGACTTGCATAGAACACAACACAAATTATCTAAAAGTTTAATTGTAGAAATAAAGTCAATACCTTTATGTACAATAACCATTGCATACATTTTTAACTCACTCGACTTTTCACAATATTTTAATTACATTAAATCCAATTCAATTTTCAGCGTGCTGACGCTGGACAAATAAAATGAACAATTGACGACACTTTTGTTGCTTTTTTCAGAAACAACTGTTAGAATTAAAAAAAAATATATAACATGAAGTTTGGACAAAAAACTGATTGAAAAGCCTATTTTGGTTCAACAATTTTTACATACATTTTTTTTATTTTGGCCTATGGCAGCAACCACTGCGTATTGGTTGTACTAAATTACAATACTTATGTACCTTTTTATTTGCACTTTTTGCAAACGAATATTTTTATTGCATACGAACACAAGACATTTTCATTTTATAAATAATAAATAACGTTCTTCGCTTTTATAGAACCCAAAATAAATTACATGAAGTACACCTTCTAGGTATTACTCGGCAATGATATAAACTTCATAAGTAAAAATAAATTAAAAACATACAAGCATAAAACTCACAAATAGATTAAGGACATTTAAAATTAAACGTAGGCATAACGCAAACATACACGAGCAAATATGTGTATGTATTATAAAAAAAACAAAAAATATACTATAAATAGGTATTTGGCCTCTAAAATAAATACTGACAGTTCTTAGCTTTAGTGAACGCTTAAATAATATCAATCCAAGTATGTTCTGATATATTCACGGTGTTTGAAGCCAGCTGACCATTCATCTTCGTGTATTGCATTTGGCAACTTCTTTCGTTTCGGCACAATTGACATGAGGTGCTCATCCATGGCACAATCTTTGGATAACAAGTAGTTGTGCAGCGTGACACAAGCCGTGACAATATTTGCTGCAATCTGATGATTGTAGGGTAAAATCGTTTTAAGACAACTGCATGATTTTCAAGCAACGCGAAAAAAGAAGAATATATGTATGAGTTAAAGTGGCAAACTTGTGATACTCGATAACCCTACCGAAAACGTGATGTTAGCATAACGACAGCCGTGTCTAGAACACCGAGCATTGATTCAAATACTGTATTGAGCCGAATTTCGGACTTCGAATTAGGATTGCGATATGGATTGATAAGAATATCCTCCAAATGGTAACCTCGATCCGCTGAGAAAAAAATATATGTACATACTTATCTATCATTGAACAATCCAAACAACGTTTACCAATTAACCATGTTGGCTCTGTTTTATAGAGATTCTTCACAATTCCCTTGATATGACTTCGATTCCAAACAAAAATGTCACTAGTTCCGCCCGATGCTCGCGGATTAACATCCAAAAAGCGCAATTTATGATCGCAGATCTTGATTAAAGAGAATGAAAGTATTCAAATTTTAAAAATAATTTTAATAAAATACATTTCTTACCACTTGCACATTGATAGTTAAATTTCCGTGTCTGCATTTGAATGCGTTGTGAAAAGGTGGGTCTACTTTAAAAAGGCGCACATGAAAACAATCCATTATGCCTACCACATTTGGTACACCATATTGCATATCAAATCCGCGCTTAATATCTTTAGCCTCATCACTATTCGAAGGGAATCTGAAAAAACCAATAAAAAAAAAATTTATTTAAAATTAAAGCATCTCCATCCATGATAAAATACATTTAAATATTTTTATCATGCTTCAACCTAGCTCAGTTTACTGCACATAACTCACACAACATAATCTGTGGCCATAAAATGTACAATCAGCTCGCACACTTCTGCCACACATTGTTGAAGCGAACCCAAACTGTAAAATCTAAAACCATCCAAAGGTTTTAAAGCGTCAAAATGACCGTACGCCAAATAGGTAAGCGTAGCCAGCACGCGTAAATCAAGTGGCATCCGATTAGAGTCTACTTCCGAGCGATAATATGTGCGGAGACAAAGAACAAGTAGGAAATCTTGGTATAGCAATTTGTTGAAACGAAAAGCTTCCAAAAAGCTAAGAAAATGTAAAAATTAAGATTGTCAAACGGAAGCGCTATTTAATATGTACACCTACTATTCATCCGGTATATCAAAAGGATTTGGAAGTATGCATTGTTCCTTGCGACGCACAAATTTTATCACATCTTTTGCAAATACTCTTTGTGTAGCTGTTGTGAAACGTCCATCATCCCAAATAATGTGCTTGTCCTGCAAGCTATCACTTGAAAGCCCAGTGAAAAGGCAAGTTGCTAAATCTAAATCCATTTTTTCTTATGCAGCTACTTCCTATTTTTTTAAACGAATTTGTTTTGATAAAAATGAATAAATAAATCTTGTGAAATCACGACTATACACGCATCTAATTCGAATTTCGCCCTTCTTGCAATGGCGCATCTAACGGCACTTTTCAATTAACTTTCAATGGGGTTGCCAGCGTGTATGACGTATAAATAAACAAAATAAACCAGAAATGTTACAATCTGCATTATTTTTTTTGTGGGTGGAAGGGTGTAAACTTAGAACGGATTTGTTTGTTAAAATGCAAAATATACGAGGCCATTATCAATTTTCTTCATTTTCCTGCAGCAGCACCTGATTCCAACTCGTGGGTGGATGACGAAATATGTAATAGAGCATGCTTGCCAACATACTCGCAGTCGTTTGCCACAAACAGGGAGCGGTGATCTTGCGTAAAGATGCGTAGCAAAGGCTAGGATGATGCAATTGCAATGTTTTTAACTTAGCTTTGTTATGCATGTGCTACCTTAATTTATTTATATTAGTGGAATGTGTTCACCAAATAGTGCAAGTGGGCTGGCACTCTGGCAAAAGAGCAGATGAGCCGAAGCAACAAATATTGACAACAGTCGTGGCTTGAGCTGATCTGCTCCTTTCTTTCTTGTATGTATGTATAGACATTCCAATATAGTACTTTAGCGTCATATACCCAAAATTCAATTAACGCACATGGCTTGGATGCATTTATCCGCCGATGTACACGCTGCAAGCATCAACACAGTCGCTAACCACGCCACAAACGACGACCATGCTCACTGAAAATCAAAGTTTTTAGATTTTTGGCGAACATGCTCGTGAGCCGCCCCACAAACGACGAACATGCACTGCGAGCATAACATGCCCGCGCATATGTTCGTCGTGTGTGGCGACTGTAATTCAAATCCATATACTGTGCGAATTACGAACAAATCGGCGCCGTATCTAATTTTTATCGTAAATTTATCGAAACTAGCTCACAGATCAAAACTTGAATTTTTTCTGAGTACGAAAATGAAAGTTTATAAATGTGTATATTCCTAATTTAATACGGAAACTTGTACATTTTTAGGAAGAATTTACATTTTGCATCAATTTTGCAGCAAAGAAGAAAAAACAGAGACAGAGAACTGTCAAGTCGAAATAATGGGAATGGGGTAATTCGTAATCATAAGTTGTGTTTTCGTATTCTCCAGCAAAAAATATCCAGTAACTTGCCAGTAACCAAATTTCGGAGAGTGAGCCAATATTTACTCCCAATGAGTGAAATATGCAAGAAAGTACGAAAACGCAAAACTAGCAAGAAGTTGCTAGTTTTATGAACAGCTGATTAATTTGTTATTTTCCGATGCAATTTTCTTAGAAAAATAGTGTTTTCCATCTTATTATATATTTAAATAGGTTTATTTTGTCAATTGCAACTCTAAAAGCACCATAAACAATTATTTTCTTAATCATGCCATCAGATGTTTTTCTTACTAGCAAATACATAGTTGCTGGTAAAAATTTATCCAGTAAAAATCCAGTAAAACTTGCAAATTCAGCTGTCATTTTTTCCCCCTCGATTTCCCCAATTTTGCTAGTTTCATGCAAGTTTTTGCGTACGAAAACGACATCCAGTAAAATTAGTACTGGATTTTCTGGATAGTGCGTACGCGAACAGGGCTATAATTTGGGCAGCGAAGAAAGTATCGAAACGATACGAAAGAAAATTACGTGATATGTCAGGCAATATAAGCTCGTCGAATCGTCACATACGATATCGTAGTACTCGTCACGTAAGAACACCGTTTTCGGATTGTGACATACGTGAACGTACTCTTTATCACATTCAGCATGTACGACTGACCGTATCAAATAAATTTCTTTCGTATGGTTTTCGATCCGTGAACGGATGATACAATTCGAGCCCAGCTTATACTGCCTGACGTATCACGTAATTTTCTTCAGTATCGTTTTCGATCCGTGAACGGATGTTACGATTCGAGCCCTGGGCTCGAATATTTGGTGTAGAGCTCTATATATGTAGTACTATATTTCAGTTTTTATACTTGAATTTGTTCGCGAGTTTATTAGTTTTTGGTTAATCATTTAACTCAATTGTTAACATCTTATAAAAAATTATATGCTATCCTAAGAACTTCTGAGGCTTTTATTTTTAGCTTAAGTTATTTTAGGTCCACGTTCGCCCACTTTCCTTTGTAATTGTTCGCGTATTTCCAGCGCATCAGGCAAATACTTCTCCTCCGCTAAGCTGTCTAGCACGTCCCTTAACTCCTCTTTTACCACATCAATACGTTTAACGTTCTGGGCTGAAATCGGTATAATACGCTCAAATTTTATTAGCTTTGACGGCCGTATTTCTTCAGGGCAATTATCTAAACCACTCTCCAAGTTCTTGATTGTTGGCTTTACGCCTTTCAAAAATTCACTGGCACCTTTCAAATCCATTTTGTTTAAAAGCAACACGCACGGCTTATCCAACAATGTCTTATCGTAAAGTTCCAACTCTTTATTAAGCGCGTAAATATTTTCCAAGCAATTACGTTTAGCATGTTGCGCGCTCAAACGGAAACCAAATATATCAACCATAACGAGAAGTAGGCGTGTGCGTTCAACGTGCTTCAGAAATTTGTGACCCATGCCAATATTGGCGTGTGCGCCCTCAATCAGTCCAGGCAAGTCAGCAATGGTTATGCGACGTAAATCCGGATAGTCCACAGTGCCTATTTGTGGTCGTATGGTGGTGACTGAAGGGAAAAAATGTATTACTGTAATAAAAAAAAAACTACACCTTACAGCTAAATAACCCAATAACTTACATGGATATGAGGCTATCTTAGGTTTGGCATTTGAAATAGCCTTAAGCAGGGTGCTTTTGCCAGCATTAGGGAAACCAACGAGTCCAACATCAGCAATTAGCTTCAAATCCAAGCTTACATTGCGATGATCCCCAGGCGCACCCAAAAAATTATTACCCGTGCAACCACCAGCACCACCACCCGCCGCTATGCATGTTGCATTATCTTCATTTAAATCGCCCAGCAGTTGACCGCGCTCGCCTAGCACTTGCACGCCTAGTGGTACTTCCACACGTTCATCCATCCCGCGACGTCCAAGTATACGCACTTTACTGCTATCCTCGCCACTTGATGCGGAAATGCGTTTCGTCTTGTATCTTTGACTAACATTTCGCAAGCTTATACCGTCTTTCGCTACGAAATATACACAACCGCCTTGTCCACCAATTCCACCGTATTTTGGAGTACCATTACCTCCATGTCCACCGCGCACTGTCAAACGCAAGCTGTCGATGAAGGCGTTACGTAGATATGCACGTAGTGGCTGCAAGAGATGAATGAATTTCGCGTTTTCATGTGTAGCTAAGTAGATATTTACCTTTTTTTCAGCTTTTAATAAAAATTTAAATAGTTGCACCATTTTATTTTATTTTATATAAACATTCATTGAGGACGCAAATCAACGGCCAGCTGAAAATTTCCGGCGTGCGAAAGAACGAATGCAAAATACAAATCAGCTGTTTTCTCTAATAAGAAGTGAGAGAGTAATTTAGCTGGGTTGCCGTACAAGAGAAATTTCTAATAAAGCACCACAATGATTTCAAAAGTGCATATAAAAAGATTTATTAAATTAAAAAAGACAAAATAACAAAATCTCATATATCTAAAATCTTAAAGTTGAGTTATAAATCCACATAAAGTTTTCCAATTGTTCAGTGCTGTTTAGTCTTTCGCGGCTCTACTCAGCCACAAGAGTTATAAGCTGAAAAATTATAAAATTAAATGAACCACTTTTGAATTTCCTGTTTTCGAAGTCTGGCATAATTTATCTCGACCGCTCTCAAGGCCAACACGTGCTTTCCGCATATTTTGGTGCATTCTTCTGTTAATTGGTGCAATATTTTGAGAATAGTGAAAATTTATAAACAAATGGAGCCAGGTATTTGTTATATCAAAGAAGAGTGAGTATCAGCAAAGTGCATAATAAAAAACGGATTCACATAAAACTATTTTCTCAGGTACCTGATACCAGAGGTAAAAAGCAGTTCTACTGTGGTGGAGGCTGTTGAACAGGACAATAAAAGAAAGTCGCCTGATGAAAATGCAACAAACAATGGAAAGGCTCAGAAGTACCAGAAAACTAGTAAAAAAGAAAGGAAACGTGGCCAAAATAAGGTAGTTTCCTCTATGCACTTGTAAACCTACAAAAGAACTTATATTTTTTTTACCTACTATAACCACAGAACCGGCCAGTTTTCAAGCAAGACAGTTCCCTGTTTTTGTGCCACTCACTAATGAATGGTCCCGATCAGGAAAAGTGCACACATCAAAATTGCCGGTATGTACATAATTTATCTGAGTACTTGGCATCCAAACCCGAAGATTTGGGTTCAAAATGTCCCGTATTTGATGCTGTAGGCTTTTGTACCCGCGGTGTCACTTGCCGTTTTGCCAAAGCTCATTTGGATGCAGAAGGACGAAACATCAAGGCGGCAAAATATAACGAGAGCAAAGCGCGTACTAGCTTAAATGGAATTACGACAGGTGGGTCTATTTATTTCGGCTTCAGTATTTTTTTTATTTGAATTCCTTTTTAGAGCTGCAAGTGCGTCTGCGTAAACGTGACTATGATTTCACGCGCAGCAAGCAGTTGGTAGCACAAGCTGACAAAATACGCGATGAAAGAAAAAAGGAAGTAGAAAATGCAGCGCAGAAAACGGATGTCGAGGAAGCTGTAGCCGAAAAAGAAACTGCAGCAGTGGCAAACGCTTCTGAAGAGGTACCCATCAACACAGACAAACCAGTAGGCGCCGTAGTAGATGATGTAGAGACACCCGGTCCAGATGTAATGAAACCACCTGTCGATTTTGTTGATAAACTAATACTTTCTCCATTAACCACTGTTGGTAACTTGCCTTTCCGACGCATATGTAAAGAATTTGGTGCAGATATTACTTGTGGTGAAATGGCTTGTGCTGTACCAATAGTTAAGGGACTCACGCAGGAGTGGGCGCTAACAAAGCGACACTCCAGCGAGGATGTATTTGGCGTACAATTGTGTGGCAATAATCCGAATATTATAGCGCAAGCAGCACAGTTGTTGCAAGAGACTACAAGCATTGATTACATCGATCTAAATATTGGTTGTCCTATTGAGCTGATATATCAGCATGGCGGTGGTAGTGCACTTATGCGGCGCACAAATATACTAGAGACAATTGTGCGTTCCTGCTCGTCTCTATCGCCGCAAATACCATTCACTGTAAAAATGCGTACTGGTGTGTATGCGGATAAAAGTGTGGCGCACGAGTTAGTGCCGTTGGTGGAGGAGTGGGGGGCAAGTGCTGTGACGGTTGGTATTTTGGGTGGTTAACTGTTAATTAGCACTTAGTTAAGTATATCTTCTATTTTAAAATAGTTGCATGGACGTTCACGCGAACAACGGTACACGAAGAGTGCCAACTGGCAGTATATAGAAGAGTGTGCAGCTAAAGCACAGCGTATGCCGATAATTGGGAATGGCGATATTCTAAATTTTGAAGATTTTAATGAGAAGAGGGTAAGTAGATGCTTGTTCATTCATTTAACCATCTTATATTAATGTTCCATCATTTTTGTTTTTAGAAAATTGCACCACACGTCTCCTCGATAATGATTGGGCGCGGCGCGCTTATTAAGCCGTGGATCTTTAAGGAGATTAAAGAACAAAAACCATGGAATCCCACATCTGCAGAACGCTTCGAAATCCTGCGTACTTATGTCAACTACGGCTTAGAGCACTGGGGCTCCGACACGAAAGGTGTAGAGAATACCCGGCGCTTCTTGCTGGAATGGCAATCATTCCTCTATCGCTACATACCTTATGAGCTCTTAGCACATCCACCACAACAGATTAATCAACGTCCACAAAAATTTCGAGGACGAGATGAAATGGAAACTTTGATGAGTTCGCCAAATTCTGCTGATTGGGTACGTTTGAGTGAGATGCTGTTAGGTCCAGTACCAGAGAGCTTTGAATTTGTGCCAAAACATAAAGCGAATGCTTATTAATATTAAATTGAAATACTGGGTATGAAACGTTGTAGTTAAAGAAGCAAATTTTTACTAACAAGTAAAAAATACTAGTTATATTAATTTTGACATCAACGCTTTTGCATAATACATGTCTTTGTATAAATGTGCAGATAAAAATATGTTTAAAATAGAAAAAAGGTTACACATCAATACAAAAATTCTTTAACACTGCTTAAGGTTCTAAGTTTTCAAATGATGACAGATTTAGCAGCTCAAAACCGCTAAAACAAATATTTTATCAAACTTTTTTATTATTTTATTATTTCTATACTTTTTTGCAGACTTTTATTTAGGTATTTATTTATTCAATTCTAAAGCTTATTCAGACTTCATCTTATCCTATAAATCAATATGCCAGAAGGGCACACATTTAGTCGGCATTTTAGCAGCATACAAGCTCCCCAACGAGTTTTTGGGGAGTGTTGCTGGAAATCTATATTCCACAACGGTTTCGCCATTTATGTTCGTAATTACTTTTGTTTTTGTTGCACATAGCTCAACGCCTCCTCGACATCCTGCTTCGATCCAAGGAAAATGGGGCTACGCTCATGAATCTTTTGCGGCACAATATCCAATACGTTAATCCGTCCGTCGCTGGCCAAACCACCCGCTTGCGTAATCAAATATGCCATCGGATTGCATTCGTACATTAAACGCAATTTGCCACTAGGCGCTGATTTCGTTGCCGGGTATAAGAAAATGCCACCATATTTGATGGTACGATGTACATCAGCCACCATAGAACCAACATAGCGTGCGCCATATGGCTTACCCTTAGCGGGATCCTTTTTCGCGGCGATGTAATTGAAAACACCCGCCTCCCATTCGGAGGCATAACCTTCGTTGACGGAAAAGATTTTACCCTTCTCAGGCACACGCATAAGCGGATCAGTCAAAATGAATTCACCAATTGCCGGATCATAAGTGAAGCCATTAACGCCCGAACCTAAGCTTAAAACGATGGCAGTGGCGGAACCATAAAGGGCATAGCCGGCGGCAACAATTTGATTACCAGGCTGTAGCGCGTCTTGCAGTGTGGGCGCACCCTCGGTGCTTTTGCGACGATACACGGCAAAGATTGAACCAATCGAGACCAAGCAATCAATGTTTGAGGAACCGTCAAGTGGGTCGAAGCACACAACATACTTGCCCTGTTGTTGGCGGTGAAATGTGTAAGTAGATGGCATTTGAAATTATTTTAGTAGTGATTTATAATTTTCACGCTTATTCCGCTTACCTGTCGCTCCACCTCCACTTCAATCACATGCTCATTTTCCTCGGATACTAGTAAGCAAGTGGTGTAGGACGATTTCATCATATTTATGAACAATTCATTTGAAAGCACATCCAGCTTCTTCACTTCCTCACCCTGTACATTGATATCGCCTGCAATGCCGTGTAACTTGGCTATGCCAGCTTTGCGCACTGCTGAGGCTATGGCCTTAATTGCTGTTTGTATGCAGTTGAGCAGCTGGGAGAGATCACCGGTGGCATGTTTGAATTTACGTTGCTCCTGCAATACAAAGCGCGTCAACGTCATTGCATTGGAATCGAATGCTTGTCCAGACTCCATGTTCTCTGCGTGTTTGTGGATTAGTAGAGAAGAGAGAAAGAGAGAAGAAGAATAATTAATAGAATTTGCCCGAGTATAATCAGAAGTAGTCATTTAACGAAAAGGTTTTTACTATTAGCGGCAGGTTTAAATGCATTTACATATATACACTTATTTGTAGCCAACAGCAATTGGTTGATAGGGGAAAGGGGAGTTTAAAATATACAAGGAGGTAAAAATCATATTTCACTCATAAATAATAATATTACAACAATTCGAAAAGCATATTTACAGGCAGAACAGCTACTCAACAAAAATTGCTAATTCTGTTGTACTTACTTTTGGGCGCGGCCATCTTCGATATCTGTATATTCTGGAGTAAAAAATCATTAATATAAAAAGAGATACTGTAGTAAATTTTTATCAGTTCATTGCTAGTTTTATGGCTCATATATATATATATGTAAGCACATTAGGCCGTGCTAGAAAAAAAGTTCGCTGAACCCTAGTGTCCAACAATGTATGTGAAAAAAGTGAAGTCAGGATTGTAATGCTCCCACCCCTAGGATTGTTCTTTATCAGATGAAATATACCCCGTTTTTTTTTCGAAAGAAAAATATTTACCGGTCGCACAAAGCGCTAAAAGTTTTCCATGTACATTATACTAGGTTCACATATGTATAAGTAGATTATCCTCATTTTCGAGCTTAACACCCTAATCTGTAATTATAACAAGACATTAGCCATATAAAATTCGTCCCTTGTTAATCTGTAATTATAAAATAATCTCAGATTAAACCGATAACTTTTCGGTGTCCATCCTAGTTTTATCGATTGTTTTTGCAAAAAAGAGGAGAAATGCCAAATGTAAAAGTAAACAAAAATGTACGCTAGCAGGGAAAAGAAGTTTGTAAAGGTATTTTTAATAAAATGTTAAGTTAAAATATATTTATATTGCTCATTATAGCATAAAAACGTGATCACGGTGGCACAGAGAAGAAACATAACATTTCCTTGAGATGTGAGAATAACAAGCACAACAAATTTGACGGCTAATAATCTGAGATTTGCCTGTGTAAACGGGGTGATTAAAAAACGAGCTTTGATTGGGATAATATTGATATGTGAACATAGTTTTAGACTGCATCACTCCCCATACAAAAAAAAATCGGTACTGTTTTTCCATTGGAATTATAAAATCTATTATAAAATCAAAATATTTCGGAAAAATATTAAGATTACGTGAGCTGGACCGATTTCAAAATACCTCCAAAAATGGTGTTTTTTATGAAATAGTTTTTAATTGTTTTTTTTTTGTTTTTTGAAAAAATCCCCGCAAATGACAAAACGGCTTAAGGTGAAAAAATTTGCCTAAAAAATTTAAAAATTTTTTTTTATAATTTTGAAAGGAATCGTAATAATGAGACTGTCGATGCTGTTTTTTTTGAACTTTTTTCAAAGATTGGGATAAAAAAAACTTGAATAACTGTACCTAAACTCTTCCGATTTAGACTTGTGAGGTATTATTGAAAAGGTATTCTCTCACCCTTTTTATTTCTTTCCTAATAAACTCATTCAAAGGATGAAAGAGAAAGGCAGGATGAACGAACGTCATTCCTCCAGTTCCTCGTGGGAAGCCATCGTAGAAACTACCTTAACAACACCCAGTGTCGAACCGATCCGCCCCCGACATACATACATATCAGACGGCACTTGCACGACTAGTAACCCGGTCGTACATAGAACATCTATCCGGCGCTCAACAATCTATACACCGATGCAGTCAGGACGTGTCATAGCACCCGAAATGACAACATCGTCTTAGCCGGTCGACCGCGACCCATCAACATTGACCAAGCGGAAGTGCCGAGAGAGATTGGTATGTCAGTGCACTTTGCCTAATCGAAATAAAGCAGATTCTGCGATCTGTGCCAACTACCGGCCGAAAAAATTAAGCCCTTCTTGAACTAACTAGTTAGATCTTGAGAAAAATACACCATTACTAAAATATTTTCAGCAAATGAAACCCTGAATAAACCTTGGATAAAAAACACGTAAATTTTAAAGATAATTTTGATAGCTTGAAAATAAATTGTCTCTAAGGCGATATGTCTAAGTCGCGCTAAGCTTATATGGCCTGTGTAGAATGGCGTTAGGAACATGCTTTAGCTCTGTCAATATAGCGAAGTAACTTTCTGAAACGTTTAAAAACCAAGCATGGTTTTAGACAAGCCGATTGACTGGTCATGTGACTACGCCAATCTTATGTTGGAAAGCGTAGTCACCAGGTACTAGGTAAAGGCGTATGCAGATCATATTCGCATACAGGGAACCGAAACGAGAGGAATAAAGCGAAAAGTAAAAGCCAAACACCGCTTAACGCTCTCTTTTCATATGTAACGAGATCAGTCCTTGGGTACATATCCAGTTAGCATGGCTACCCGGTCACAGGGGAAGAGAGAGGCGGCAGCCATCACTCCAATTGGCCCCGAGCCGTTCCTGGCTGCAGGTCCCAATAATTTTAAGGACGAGCTCAGGCAGTCGGGGAATGCACTAAGGAATCTAAACTGAGTTAGGCGAAGAGTCTATCGGTGGGGTGCAACATCAAGAGATTCCGCAACTTAATTAACCTGCCAAAGGAAAAACTTAGAATACTAACAGGCATCCTTTCAGGACACTGCAGACTAAGAGGGCATCTGTATGAGCTGCGACTCCACCAGTGCGCCACACCCGTCTATTTAGAGGTTTAGATGGCGTATTGCGACGAGTAGACGAGTCGGTCTGTCTATCTACCTCAGCATTCGCTTTTAAGATGATCACCTACCACCCCATAGGCACTGAAACTTTAGTTCTGGCGAGGATTCCCCCAAAAAAAAAGGAACAATTAAAAATAAATAAGAATAAATAAAAAATCGTTGATGTGTTGGAAACTTCTAATTGTAACTATATGTAGATAAACTGTCTTATAGTTTCTTGCCTAAAGCTGCTTTTTCACGGATGTGTTGCATGCCGAGTGGTGACCGCTATTATATTAATTATAAATCATTCCCTTTTTGCATTAGCTTTGTATTGGTAATCAAAAAATATTTTAGTTCTCTTTCATAAAGAGCGTTTCGTCGCTATCGCAAATAGAGACCAAAAGTGACAAGTTTATCAGTTGATAAGATAACTGCACAGCGGTTGTCATTGACAAGGTGGGTGTATTTGGCGTAAATGGTTTGGCTTTGGGGGATCTTTTTTTGGTTAGCTTTCACAGCTATACTTTTTTGTCAAGTGTTTGGCCGAGTTTCGGCTCCAATTTGTATTAGTTGCGCTCCAGATAACTTCGTATAAAAACCTGTAAAACTGTCAAATAACAAAATTACTCTCTTGAAAGAGAGGAGCAAGAGAGAAAAAATAAAAGTCACCTGGAACGCGAAAGACCACTTTTCCTGTAACTACTTCCATGTTTTTTAATGTTAAGCGCCATGGAGACGATCAAATATCTTTATCAACCGTCTCGCGTTTTACTTGACAAAAAACAAGTGCACTTGCCTTCTGGTCGTCGTGGTGAGCAAGTGCGCGGACAAGAAAAGAAATTGTTTGTTGAATTAACGCGTTTATTTGAACGTTTGCGGGCAAGACACGAGCCAATCTCCCACATATGCAATGCTTGACGTATTTATTTGATGGTCGCCGTGGCGCTTAATGTTCTTTGCTATCTGTTTTTGTTTACAAATGCAACCCTGCCTATCGTTTGACACTTTTCATGAACTTGCAGTAAGAAAAACTTGGGACTAAAACCTGCAACTTCTGACTGAGAGAGAGAGAGCAAGTTACTCTCACAAAAGTGGTTTGACTTGCAGGTTTTTTGGCACCTGGAACCTTTCCTGCAAGAAAAAAAAACCTACAAATCCTGCTTTGCTGCAAAAAAAAACCTACAAATCGTGAATATCGCAAGTTTGCCATTGCCCATTGAGGTATGGCCTATAATGTAAATAATTTGATGTTGCCGCGATCCCTTGTAAAGGCATTGACAGACCTTAGCGTTGATCCGGATTTACTCGTTAATTCGCGTTAATTCATCTCTGGAACTAACAGCTGTTGATTAGGAAAAATAAGACGATTCGGATTAAGTCCTGCGGCTAATCCTCAAAATTAATGCGGATAAGGAACATTTGCGATGACAACTCAGGCCAAAACGTCCTGCTGTGAATGAAAAATAAACGAAGCAAACAAAGCAAGTGATTTTGGCGTCCGCGGTAGCCTAGCGCTCAGGTTCGATCCTCGGTCCGATTGGCATTCAACAGTTTTTGATGTGCAAACGTCATGGCTCTCGGTATGGGTAAAATTTGCGTTAATCCAGAAGGAAATCTGTAGTTGTTTCTTGCATGTACAAATGCACATTTATGGCCTAATTCAGGGCTATTTTAGAGCCACTTCGGTATTACATAGTTCACGTCTAGTTTAGGACCATTTCAGAACCGTTTCTGGAACGGTTCAGGACTACTTAAAGCTATTTAAGGACTAGTTGACGACTCTGGTCCATTTGAGAGTTAAGGACTAGGTCAGGGTTAGTTCAGGCATTTTCGGGTCTGGTTCTCAGGGTCCACTCTGTATTGCGATTCGAAAAGCAAGTCATTCGTATTCGGATACTTGGTACTATGAATTTGTATTAGTTTCGAATCGCATTAGATTCGAATCGCAATATAGAGTAGACCCCAGGACTACTTCAGGACCATTTCGGGACCATTTACGGATTAGTTTCGGCATTATTTCGGTCCGTTTCTAGATCTGTTTACTATTTAAGTACCATTTCGGAGCTAATGGAGGACTAATTCACGACTCTGGCCCTTTTGCGACTTATTCAGGGGATCTACTATGTATTGCGATTCGAAAAGCAAATGATTCGGATTCGAATACTTGGCGCTATGAATTTGTATTAGTCCGTGTCGCGTTTCGAATCGCATTGACTACTTTAAGAACATTTAGGTACTAACTCAGGCTTATTTTGAGGCTAGTTCGGGATAATTTTGGGGTTGATCGCGATTAGTCACGAATTGATCTTGAACTAGTCCTAAACTATTCCCGAAGTGGATATGGAAAAGTCATTTATTTGTCCTGAGAACCTGTTTAGGTATGCCACTGAATTGAACCGAATGTTTTGTCGTAGAAAAATGTTTACACATCCAATTAACCGACTTCAAAAAAAGGGAGGAGGTTATCAATTCGTCTGAATATTTTTTTTTATGTAACTGTTAACCGTTTTTATAATTCTTTTTTTGCAAGGAAAGGTGGTACCTCTGAGATGGTCCCATAACAATGTGGTTTAGATCCGATCATTGGATCATGAAGAAATTAATAGGGTACTCTTTAAAGTTTTATATGAGACTCGAAATCGGTTTTTTTGTTAAATTGTTGGTTATTTTTTTAGCTTCATTTTATTTGTATATTTTATTTTCTTTGGCTTTATTTTATTTCGCATAATTTTTTTATTATTAGTTAATCAAATTTTTTTTCCTCAGCAACTGTACGTACGTTAAAAAATAAAAGTTAAATTTGAAATAACTAAAAAAAAATTAATGAAAATTCAGCTGGCCGTGGGACTCGCACCCACGACCTCGCCGCTCGCTTAATCCGCATAACTGCCGCCTGTCAAGGCACAATTTTGATCGAATCAACTGCGCCGTTTTTGAATTTGAATTTAATTTTCCCTGTACTTTTAGTTTCCTTTTATAAACATATATACTTACATAGGGCAGTCCTTTAAAATATGAAAATCATTGTGCCCGCTTTTATTTTGTTCTCGTAAAAATAAAGGCATCTATGAAAATTCCAAAAGTAAAAAAAAAATAGTGGTGCTAGCAAAGTTTAAGTTTTTTTTAAATCGCAAATATTTAAAAAATTTTGACTTTGTCCAGCTATAACTCAGCGAGTTTATGAATTTAAATGGAAATGTCTCAACACGCGAAGCTGGTCAAAGTCAACACTTTGTCGAATTTTTTGGGATTTATAAAAAATTCAAATTTTTTCAAATCCAAAATTTTTTAAATTTTCAAACTTTCGTGGCTATATTTATTTTGTACGTAGAACAGGACCTTAATGTTGAAATTTTAAGGATCACCTTCATATGTACATTAGATTGGTCCAATTTTTGTATTGGGGGTAAAAATGTCATCCTAGAAAATGGGGCACCCCCTTAGTTTTTTCCTTTTGATATTTGTAATATCTAAACCAGCTTTAAATTTTCTACCGTAACCAATACAGGGTGCTCAATGACCTTGAAATGAGCTGCTGGATCGCCGTGAAAAATGTCGGTGATTTTTATAAAAAGCTAGAATCGCTTTGACAAGTGAAGCTTGTGATATTTTTTTAAATAATAAATTTATATTTAGACACGTCAAGCTTGGTGCCAGCACCTCTTTCAGCAAGAGGAAAAATTTTTGAAGGTGCCCAAAACCATATCTACGAAATAAAATTGTTTGTAATGTACATATGTATTTAAATAGAATATTTTTTTACTTTCTATGCTATATTTCTTTTATTTGCCAAATTTAATATTTTTTGTTATCTATTTGTATTTTATATCATAGGTATATATTTAATTTCTTCTATACTTTTTTTTTCCTTTTTTATTTTACTCAAAATACATTTTCCCTAATAAGATTGATCAAAAGAATTAGAAAATAATGTGGAAATGACTTTCACTTTTCCTTCTCACTGATAAATGTGAAAAACACTAGCGTTGCGAGTATGTATTTACGTACATACAGATGTATGTATGTATATGCATAGATATGTACATATCTGGAACTAAATGTTTTGCTATGCACTCGACTGATGTAAGACTTCACTAAACTTTTTGCACCCAATTATTTCACCTTTTTTATTCGTAAGTACCGGCTTATGATGTTGAACAGATTTAGAAAATGTTGTTTGTTATTTTTTTTTTTTTTAATCTGGTGGACTTACATTTAAATTATGACCACGTTCGGCTTTTAAAAGAAAAAAAAAATATATATTTATTTTTTTAGCAACTACTGACTAAAAGTTGCAACTGGCACTGCCTGCTTCTCCACTTAGCTACTATTTGCGTTCACTGCGCACGAACTTTATTTTGAGACTGAAACGTTTGAATGCCGAAAACGAAGTGTGGAAAAATCGAGGCAAAATTATATTAATATATACATAAATAAAGACAAATGTTTATATGCATGGACATGAGTAAATGTGTAGTTATTCTGCGGGAGCGTATATATATATGAGTACATTTGTATTAAAAGTTTCTTTTTCGATTTTTGTTTTGTGATAACTTGTTGAGCTCCACGCAGTGATAGCACAGACCACAGACAAAAAAAAAATGTAAATAAAAACAAACTGATAGTTTATACATAAACATACATACAGACTATATATATATATAACACACACACAAACTTTATCAGTACCAAATACCCTGTAGGAAAACTTAGGGCTATGACAAATTTTAAATTTTATACGGGGACATAACTATTATTGGCGGGTAATCTGGTACACTCGCTTATTTCCCAAACTGTTTGCTATGTGAGAAAACCTTTTACATTACAAGTAATTTTTAAGTAAAAAACAAAAGCGACTTCAACTCTCATAAACAAAATTTAGGTGTACCGCGAATTTCTTCACCAATTATCCGATCTAAACAAAATTAGTATGAGACCACCTGTGACCTTCCTTAAAAAAAAGAATAATAGAAATAGTTTAACGTGGTCCAAAGTTATGCGGTAACATACATGTAAAAAGAAAAAAAAAATATTCCGACGAATTGATAACCTTCTTCCTGTTTGTGAAGTCGGTTAATTATAAATGGAAAAAACAAGGTAAAGGTTTCATTTAATTGCTAAAAGAAATATTTTTCCAAAATTGGAATTTTTTAAGGTTCTTTTTAAGAAACAAAAACAAATAGGGTTTGGCATAACTACGATGACCATATTAACCAACGTAAAATAAAGGACATTTTTTTTCAAATGAGTTGGGAATACGTACATACAACTTGTATGAGAAAAGTACCGTACCTATATCGTAATTTAAATCAAATATTTACCAGTTAATTATATCATTTAATTGTACAAGTTTCCCTGCTGTAGCGAAAAATTAAACCAAATTCTTTTCAAGGACTGCACGACGAATACCGGAACACAGTGGCTCAAAATATTTTTTTTAAAAACCAAAAAAAAAAAAATTTTTTTTGGTGAAATTTTTTTTATAACATTTCAAAATTGTTTCGTGTATTTTTTTGATTGTTTGGAATAACCATACCATTGTTTTCAACTAGTGTGTTTTTATGTAATATTTATTAACTGGAACAGGAGAATACATTTTCTTCAAAATTGCTCCTTTATCTGCATATTGCACTAAAAAATTTAATATATTCAAATAAAAGTTCAGAAATCACGCTCAACTAGTCTCTTGCAAATATCGTAAGCTTTCATAAAAAAATAATCAAATTAAGTAAAAAATGAAGGCTCCAGTGAATTACGAACAATAAATGCCAGTTTTGAACCACTCTGCATCAGGGGGTTTATTGTTCTCTTTCAGTGGAACTGGAAACTCAGCGTACAACACGATCCTGGGCACAACTTTCCCTATGTTTTATAGATTGTACAAAGATTACCGATTAAATAGAACCCCTTAAGTGGGGTGCGAAACAAACTGGCGAAGGTTTCCATTATATTTTATGAGGGATATTCTGCGTTTAAAATTTACCTCTGAAAAATGCAGAGTCGATTTAAAGGACAGTTTAAGAAATAATGGACATAGGGTGTCCTTTATTTTGAAAAAAATTATAAAGGACAGGGGTTACCGTAGGCATAACGCAGAAAGAAATAAACGAATTAAATTCATATTAGAACCGGACACTAACAAATGTATATTCTATCCATTTATTATTATTACATAAAAGCAATAATGTGGTACACTTCTGCTATTCATTGTTAAATAACATAGTTATTTTATTTGAAACTAAATTGTTTGCCTTTTAAGGTTATGTTGGGTTGGGTTATCCTGGCTGCCCTCATCCCGCACAGGAAAAATGCACACTTAGGCCACGTTGTGATGCCATATTAGAGACTTGTTATTGCTGCTCTTACCTTAGAAATGGAACCACTTCGTAGCTCTGATAAATTGCAGAAAGTCGTGGATATTGCCTGAATCCAGTTCAGCCAGACATTCAAAAGAATATTGAAGGAACGAGCGTCAACGCCCCCTAGCCAAAGCGAGACAGTGGTATAGATAAATAGTGTTCTACGCTTTCGATTTGCTCCTTATTACGGCACCTACGACAGTAGTCCTTTCACTGCAAACCCATTCTAGCAGCGTGGGTTCCCTCAGGCAACGTCGGTGAGAACACCAAATACATGTCGCAGCGGTGGTCGCTCCAAGCGGAGGAGAGGACGAGATCTACGCTTATCCAGCTAAGGCCAGATATGTCTTGCTATCCTGCACGTAGGCTCCGCGGATCAACTTGCAGGAAGCTAGCGGAATGCCCGCATTACGAGCTGTACTGATTGCAAACAGTAAGGCCCCTTTCCGTGCTGGGTTATTTGCAACACAGTTGTGCGGTATGTCTTTATGGCCTTAATGACAGATAACCAAACTTTCCAAATATGGCGAAGATATGTGCCTTTCCATCTGTCTTTTTCTATACCAACTATATGAATTGATAAAACTTTGATTGCGTTTTCCCACAAAATTGAAATTTTGAAATACTCCGTTATGTTATTAAATGTGTGATACGTAGTTAAAGAAAATCATCCCTCTGCAGCTGAAAAAAAGTTTCCCACTTTTATCCAATAAAATACTACGAGAGAAAAATAAATACGCGAAACTTCTTACTTCAGTCCTAGAGGGTATGTTGTGCACTATGCATCTCTCCGGTGTTCTCTTGCTCGCATTGTGTGATTTGTTTATTTTCTGATAAGTAGCCAAACCAGCTTCGAGTTTTATCGAATGAATAGCAAACGTATCAGTGGTAAAAAAGAACCTACGATAAAAGAGTGTGAGAAAAAGGTGTGAACTTGTGGATAAACCGGTCTGCGGTCTGCTGGCTTCCTACTAATTAAAAGCTAAAGCAGTGTTTGCATTATTCAACTTTGCGTTCAACAATTGCGTTCAACTCAACGCAGGGTTGCACGAAAAAAAAGTTGAATGGCTAAATGTTGGCTGGCGACCAACTTTGTTGAAAGCGATTAGTTGAAAGGCCATTCAACCAAAAGTTGAATGCAAAGTTGAACAATGCAAACACCTTTTTATGGCGAATATTTTGATATTTTTTCATATTTTGATATTTTTAGCCATTCAACTTTTTTTTCGTGCAACCCTGCGCTGAGTTGAACGCAAATGTTGAACGCAAAGTTGAACAATGCAAACACACTTTAATGTCAACCAAACCGGGATAAGCTCTGGATACTAGGAGCCGGTTACTCGATATCTGGATAAGACCAACTACAGGTTAAACATCGTTATCGACGTTAACGACTCCCTGGTGTATGCATGGAGTGGAAGACGTCGATAACGATGTTAAACCGCAAATTAGTGTTAACCAGACATTAAGGGCCAGTTTAAACTTAGTTTAAGTAAACTGAGTTTAAATTGAACGGCTGGCTGGCATTTGATTGGCTGATCTCAGTGATCAGTGATTCAAACAAGTTACAACGTGCTGATTTTTTTTTTAAATATGCATAATGTTTTTCGAGTTAAATTTTTTTTTCGATAAACCAAAACCATATAAACTGCACATCAAATTTTATATTTTCATCAAAGTTTCAACTTTTAAATAAGAAACTTTAAAAAAGAAGCAAACGCAGTTTTAGCCGGTTGAAACTTGCACTTCAGTAGACTTGAATTGTATGGGCTATAAAACTGCATATCCAAAAATGTTCTAAAGGTTCACATTAAAATTTTTTTTTAAATTGAAATGTTGATGAATATTTATTGAATTTTTCTAAATTTTGTATAAAGTTTAAAACTATGATTTATATAGTTTAGTTAAAGCCTGGACGTTATTTTGTAGAAAAAAAAATAAAAATTGACTCGAAAAACATTACGAATATTAAAAAAAATTAACACGTGGTCAATTGTTAGAGTCACTGTATGTACGTATTCGCTTTTGTATTAGTCTTCACATTCACCTTCGTGTTCGTTTTAGTCGCTGTCTTCGTACTTCGTCTTCGTCTTCGGATCGTATCCGTATTAGTATTCGTATTCCACTTTGTATTCGTAGGCATTCTTCTTCGTCGTCATCCGCGTATTCGTATCCGTCTTCTTATTCGTGTTCATCTTGGTCTTCGAATTCGCCTTCGGTTGCTCTTCGTATTTGTTTTATTATGAATCAAATAATATGAAATAAATTAGAGCGAAAGAAAATAAAATGAAATAAAATATCTATAAATACAAAGAAACAAGTAATTTTTCAGCAAAAAACACAACTAACTTCAATTCTCATATACAAGTTTAGGAGTACCGTTAATTTGTTCATAATACGGTGATCGGATCTAAACCAAATTAGTATAGGACCATCCTTGAGGTACTACCTTTCCAATCGAGAATTATCGAAATCGGTTAACGTAGTCCAAAGTTATGCGGTAACATACATAAATAAAATATTACGAGGAAATCATAACCTTCACCTTTTATGGAAGTCGGATAAAAATATAAAATTTTACCAATCACTCGAACCGAGGAACGACGTTTTGATCAACGTTGTTATCGAACATTTCCCTGATACGCATTAATTTTGAGCATAAGCTGCAAAACTTAATCCGGCACAACTGCACTTAATTTCCGAGATGACTCCGAATTAACGAGTTGATACGCTATACTTTTATATCCATATTTGCAGTCGACCGATGCTCATCAAAGTAGAGCTCTTAAAGGAGGAAATCGTTCGAACAACACCGTTAACTTATGACCATTTAGAAGACCCATGAATTAATTCTGACCGGCGGTGTAAGCTAGCATCGCATACATACATATATCCTAAACAATCAAGTTCACTACTCTGATGGGAGTGGATAGACCTTAGAACGCGCTTAAATTGCGACGGTTCTTTGAGCTTACATTTAAGGGTTGACTTAAGAAAGGCCCGTACATTATTCTATAATAAAGCCAGGTTCTTA